TGATTGCGAAGAGCACGCCCCGGTGACGAGTCTGGAGTCAGAGCTGAGACCAGGTCGAGGGGCTTCCAATGCGTCCAGCCTAAGCAAATTTTGCTCTCATCCAGGGAAAGATGATTAAAGTTGCCCCTTCACTGAAACAATATTAAACCAATTGGGATAACAAGATCTTTAGCGATATTCAGACATTCAAAAACATAGATCATTGACTGCTGAGTACCTTGTCTAGTTATTTGACTTCCACAAAGCACAAAAAATAGCTTCCTTGAGAAGCCAAGGACAGACTTTGCTTCACACACAGAGAACCTGATACTGGTATCTCACACCCACTCAATCCCAGAGTAAGTATCACATTTAGCGCCCTCCACACCTTCTACCTTATCCAGCACTATGGCTGCTTCCAAGAAGTTTTATCTTAAATCTCTCAGGGAGATCCAGGATGGAAGAATTCCAAAGCAAGAGAAATGGCTGTTCCCAGTTTACTGGAATCTGAAGCACAGAATGTTAGTGCCTGTCAAGTGCCCTGGTGGAATCACTGGCTAATCCAACATTAGAAGTCAGGTGCTCCCAGTGACCAGATTCAAATTACTAGGCTGTCTCTTTCCAAAAACAGCAAATCCCCAGACATCCCTAGCATTCCCTGAGGTTACAAAACATAGGCCACTGAGGTCAAATAAATCTATTCCTTCTACACACCTTTTCCCTTAGAAGCCCTTTCTTCTCTTTTCAGCAATTGACGATCAGGTCTTTACTAAGTAAAAGCAAATGTGAGGAGCTACATGCTAGGGACAACTCCCTGCTGTTTTTATCCTGTGAATTTTCTCAAAGTATTTATAGATGACAGTAACAGGCCATATACATCTCCAATATTATTTTTCATATTTTCACATCTAAGCATGACAATCTGCAGACCTGAACCATAAGACCAAGATTCTTAACTTTTGTGACTCTGGCACTAATCACTGTCACTAAGTTATAATGATGAGAGTTCATTTCATATATACTTACTCTATGTTAGATAATGTGTTCATACGTTTATCTCATGTCTTGTTCAAATTTAAGCAGCCAATAATTGATGGAGGCTGGTTCAAACTCATATCCATTTAACTACAAATATGTTCTTACCTCCTGCACTGCTAATATGCCATACTATGATGCATGTATATATGTATGTGTATATAATGTATGTGTGTATATGTCACACATATGTACTGTGTATGAAAGTATGAATATATGCAGGTAGTGTTTCATTTTGCTCCGTAAGTAACTTAAAGTAGTTTATTGTTTTTGTGTTTCCTAAATGATTTCTGATTTGGAAGATGACAATACCCATGAGTGATGTGTCTTGAAAACAAACTTGGGGTAGAAATGTCTAGTGAAAGATCAATGACAAAGCTTACGTGTGGTTCTCTGTGCCATAAAGCACTGTTTTTTGTGGTTTCCATGCCGACTGACCCACATGCACTGATTTGTCAAAAGCATGCATCGAAGGGGCTGTTGCCTGTGAATACTTGTTATGCAACACTTATACAATCGTTTTCACTTTCTCTGCACTGTCTACTATTGACTGGAAACATGTCCTGTGACTAATGAAAATGAATGCCCCATACTCTTCAGGAGGCACTTGATTTCAATGTACTTATGAAATTATTTTAAGTTGGAAATGGAAATACTATTTAAAGGTCACCTACTGAAAAACTAAACAAGACATACTCTAATGAGAGGTCAGATCTGCTTATTTCTACCCAGGCTTTCTGTGTGATACAAAATAGAATCCACAGTGACCAAAACAGCTGTGCCATTTTGGCTGCATGGAAAGATGTCACCGAAACTACCACATCAATTTCACAGTGGTCAAACAGGCGCCACTGTAGAAAGTTTGGCTTCTCCAAAGGCTCATAGGGATGAGCAGCTGTTGCCCTCTCCCAGGTAATGTGGCATGTTCTAGGAGAAATTAATTAGATAGAAATTAGTTCCCCTTACCATCCTGCCTACTCAAAAACAAAAACACTGCTAGCAAACTTCAAAATGTGGTAAGAAAAAGATAAAATCCATTTTGTATACAGTGATTGCCTCAGTTTCACAGAATACATTGTTCTCCTGCTTTACAAATACCAAAAGAACCATTTTCAAATCCTGTAGCATGTGCAGTGAATTCATGTATTTATATTCATGTATTTCTTGAATATATTTATATAAACTCCATTAAAGGAAATGTCCAAGCCTTGGTTTATTTAATATTTGAAGTCACATGGCAAACTTATATTCTTGGTGTTATTTTTTATTTATTTAGTGCACCATTTACAGGTAACAATGCATTTTAGCCACAAATGGGAGAGCAACAGAGGAATCATGAAATCCTATACATAAAACATTACGGATCTAATGCAATACATTGCAGTTTAATTTACATAAATATATAATTCTAGGGAATGCAAGGGGTTGAAACTATAGCTGTAATTGTAAAAGTAATTTTTATACTTATGTCCCAAAGAACATGAAAGCTAAATACAATTTGAAAAATTCACAACCAGTGAGGTGTTACAATTGAAACAATGAAGTAATGCTTAAGATAAAAATAAATGTAAGAAAAACATTAAAGTCTAAGAAGAATAAATCTAAGAAATTACATTATTAAGATTATATAACCAATTCAGAGATTAAAAACTTTCATTTATCACAAGGTGTTCGGGTTAGGGTTACACTGGTGGTTTTTGCCTGGGTCTTATATAACATTCACTCATTCAAGACATTCAACAACTAATTTTTGAACTCTCTGTGCTCTAGGGAATGTATCTGGCCCTGAGAAAACACTGGAAAACAAAGCAGACATAGACTCTGCCCTCACAGAGCTTACAGTCTACTGGGGCAGACAGCTGAGAACAAACAGAGGTACCTATACCATAGCACGAAAATTGCTATGTGGGAGCCTCCCCTCCTAGGGGAAGCAGCGTCCATGCTGAGACTGTAGGATGAGAAGTGGAGAGGGGAGGAGGGAGATGGAATGAGGATTCCAGACAGAAAGAAAAGAAAGTGCAAAGGCCCCCGAGGCGCAAGAGAGAGTGATCTATTCTACAACAGTGATTCCCAAAAAAAGATCCTAAGATACTTGTTGGGCCAGAGTGGAATTTTCATCTGTCAATTGGAAAATGAAGATAATGTGGTAAGTCTTTCCAAAGCTAAAGTTATTCAATTTTAATAACTGAGTTTAAGGCTGCCTTATTTTCTACCACTAAAATGGCTTTTCTTTTATGAAATGACAGTGATAGTTGCATATATGAGTGTATGCATTTTTTTCTCCTCCTGTCTGGGATTCTCTGTATATATTTAAATAAATGACCCAATTTTTAAAATTAGCGAAATAAAAACTACTGACACATAGATTTTACACAAGTCTTGGAATCACTGTTCAAAGATTATACTTCTAAAACGTGTTTAATATGGTCGAAGGGGAGGGTTGAGGAAGATATCAGGAGATAAGGCTAAGGAGGAAGGCAGGGAGTTAGATCATAAAAGACCATGGAAGGACTTTTGACTTTATCCTATGAGCAATGGGAATAATTTTAAGCAGGGGAGTGAAACTCCACTTATGTTTGTAAAAAGTCATTCTGGGATATTGTATGTAGTATGCGTGTTGAATGGGGCAGGAGAGCAGGAAGGAAGGCCAGTTAGACAGCACAAGAGTATCTCAGTAAATGGAGATAAGAGCTGGAATTAGGGCCGAATCAATGAGACAGAATAGAAGATAATTCGAAGAGACAAACTTACAGATTTGGTGATCTGTTAGACTGGATAATGAAATTTGGATAGTCAGGGCCAATGTCCAGTCTTTTGACTTGGGAAACTGAAACGATAACTGTACTAACCATTGGGCTAGAGAATGTAAGAGAAGGAGGCTTTTGGTGGAGGAGGATAATGAGTTCATTTGGGACATGTTGAACATGAAGTATCTTTGTGTTCATGACCATTAGGGTAATTGTCTACACAGGTCTCAGGCACAGAAGACAAAACCTGAACTTCAGACATAAGTTTTGTAGTCAACAGCATACCGGTAGTAATTGAAACTGCAAACATGGGTGAAATTTCCCAGATAATGTAGCATAAGAAGAAGGCTTAATACATATTACAAAAAGGTTAGACAAAATGAGCAACACAGAAAGAAGCCAGAGACAAAGCAGTCTGGGAGGAGAGCCAAGACGCCAAGGTGTGGAAACCAAGGAAGACTTTTTCAAGGAGGGAGTAGGCAAGGGTCAGATGCTGCAAGAATCATTTGAAAAGATTGAAGAATGCTCATTGGAACTAGCAACATGAAGTTGTTAAGGACCTTGAGAAGGGCAGAGGAGGGAGCAGAAGCCAGATATAGGGCGTGAATTTGCAGGCAGGACGGAGTTCTTTCATGCAGCTTAGCCATGAGAGAAAGGAAAGGAAGGGCCAAGGACTGGCTGAAAAAGTGGGCCTTGGTTTTATAAACACCAGAGAGACTTGCTGATGGATATTGTAGGAGCTGCTCACTAGGGAGAATTTGAAGACTTGTTGCAAGTGAAGGAAATCAATAGAAATTCAGGTAAAAAATGTTGACTAGCTTAAAAAACTCACAATGTAATCCAAAGAATGGTTATCAGAAGAGTGGGGTGAGGGGATGGCTGTGAAGGGGAAGGAGAATATAGTCAATACTATTGTGATATATTTGCATGGTGACAGATGATTACTAGAATTAGTAGGGTGATCACATTATAAGGTACAAAAATATAGAATCACTGTATTGTACATCTGAAACTAATATAACCAATATAATATTATGTATCAATTATACTTGAATTTTAAAAAATGACAATGTAAAGGTTTTTAAAGTTATAAAATGCAGTGTTCTCATAAGAACACAGGATCCCACTTTAAAATTGTCAGTGGATTTAAATACACTTAAGGATATAAAATGATTCCAAGAAATGCTCTTAGAGAATCACATTTTAAAATATTTCTTAAATTGTATTTTAAAATATTATTTTTAAATTATGGCAATTTTAGGTCCTGTCCATAGAGATCATACTCTTTAAATAATATGTATCTTTGAATTCTTGGAGGGAGAGGAAGTTTCTTCATTGAGGCTGGCTGGCAGAGTCGCTGGAGTCCCATAAGTCTTCGGATTTTTAACCGACACAAATGCTTTAATGAGCGAGGGTTCTCTAAAATGAATGGGAAAACCAAACAAAAATAAAAACCAATATTAGTGGATTGACCCAGAAGATACAGACCGTTTTAAAATAACATTGATGAAGTCTTTCTGAAAAACAAGTATGCACATGTTAGCAACTGGGGACCTTAAGTGAAATTCATTTGTAATTAAGCCTTCCAGACCATCCCTCTAGCATGTAATCTCCAGGAATAGAGATATTTAGTATGTCTCTGTGTCAGGAACACAGCCTGACTCATAGGGAGTGTCCAACTAGAGTATGATAAATGAATGAATTGACTTGATTTAAGAGAACAAGTGCTCACATATCCTCATACTTGTTTTTAAAACTGAGTATCACAGAGATATGCTTCTTTACTTTCTCTCTGTTCTACCAATCTTTCTCATGAAAAATTATCCAGGAAACATCTGATGCAAATAATTCTATATGTTTATGATTCTGAGGTTTGTTTCAGTGTCTGACATCTAAACATTTTGTTCAAAAAAATCTAAGGTCAAGTATCAGAGTTAGTCTTTACTTTCAACTCTTATTCTAATTATATTGCAATTAGAATACTGATACATTATCCCAGCAATGTGAGCTAATGAAAGGGCAGCATAGCACATGGTTAGCATGGATTAAAATCCTGGCTCTGCTGGTTGGTATCTGTGTGACCTTGGACGAGTTACTTAACCCTTGTGAACTCGATACTCTTACCTGTGAAATGTGGATAAGAATGGGACCTACCTCCTATGGTTGTTTGAAGACCAAAAAAATTAATTCATGTAAAGTATTACTTGGTACCTTGCAACCATTCAATAATGTGAACTATCACTCAATTCAAAAATAAAAGATCACATTTCTGTTATGTGTTATAATTTGAGATTATAAACATTTAAATTATCTTTTCTAAATGAAAATAATATTTTCCAAAAACTATTTAAGCAAAATTATTTTTACCAAAATAGGCAAAATAAACCCATCTTTAAAAAAAAATTATCACTTTAATTTTCTTCCCTAACAAATATACTGCCTCAAGACTTCGGGTCAAGATGGCAGCATAAGCAGACATGGCTTGCCTCTTTGCACAACCATAGCAAAATTACAACTAAATTATAGAACAACAATTACTCAGAGCTGACAGAAATCGAGCTGAATGGAAGTCTGACAACTACAGAAATGAAGAAACCCCATCCAGCCAGATTGGTAGGAGGGGTGCAGATATGCCCACATCCATGTGTGGTGGATAAAAATTTGGGAGGGATATCTTGGGAGTGAGGAGTCCTAGCCCCACACCAGGGCCCCCAGCCCAGAGTTCCAGTGCCAAAAAGGTAAGTCCCCACAATTCCTGGATGCAAAAAACAACAGGGATTGAGTCAGTGGAAGAAACTTCTGGAGCCCCAAGCAGTTCCTCTTAAAGAACTCACACACAGACTCACCTACTCAGACTCACTTCCTCTGGGCTCCAGCGCTAAGCCGGCAGCTTGAGGGGCACCAGTGGTGTACAGTGGGGAGGCTGAGGTGTCTAGCATCAAGGCTAGTGGGGGCCATTGTCCTCTTTCTGGACCATCCCCCCACAGAGCTGGCAGACTGGTGCTGCATCTAAGATTCCATCAACCTGGCTAACACTGTTTGACCCACCTTGGAGGTCCCCAGAGACTCCCTCCCACCCAATTTACCGGCCCATCCAAGCTGCTTTTCCATATGAATGGCTCATGCTTCACAACTTCCTAAATACTCTCAACGAGCAGCAAGTGGCCTAAGTGAGCTCCAGGCCTGGGAACTACCAGCTTATATTCACAGCTTGGCTTCACCTGGGAATCTCCAAGCCCAGCACAAGTAAGTAGCAGACACCTCAGACTCCTTTATAGCTCAGGCCGGGTGACCCCAGGCAAAACACAGGTAGGAGCTGATCTTGGCATGCACCACCTGAGAAACCCCAGGGCCAGCGTACCCAGTGGACAGCTACAGACCGCATTGGACGACCATCACCCTGCCCCTGCACAGCTGATCCTCCTTAGAGGGCAGAGGTTGGTGGTAAGTGTTCACAGCCAATCCTTGCAGCTGGCTGGCCTGAGTAAATCTCCCCATTCATCTGCCAACAGCAACCAAGGCTCAACTACAAGTGGAGGGTGTACTCAGCCCACATGGAGGGTATAACTCAAGTACTCAGCTTGGGTGATAGGGAAACCTGTGCCTCTAGACCCTAAAGGACACCTACTACATTAGGCCATACTGTCAAGACACGGAGTCAAAGCAGTTCTACCTAATACATAGAAACAAACACATGGAGCTTTCCAAAACAAGGAGAAAAAGAAACATGGCCCAAATGACAGGACAGGTCAGAACTCCAGAAAAAGAGCTAAAAGAAATGGAGATAAAAAATCAATCAGATTCAGAGTTCAAACAGTGGTTATAAGAATGTTCTCAAGGAACTTAGTAAGGACCTGCCTAAACAGCATAAAAAAGATCCAGTCAGAAACGAAGGATACACTAATTGAAATAAAGAATAATTCATAGGGAAACAACAGTAACGTGGATGAAGCTGAGAGTCAAATCAATTATTTGGAACATAAGGAAGCAAAAAATAACCAATCAGAACAACAAGAAAAGAGAATCCAAAAAAACGAGGATAGTGCAAGCAGCCTGTGGGACAACTTTAAGCAATCCACCATTCATTTCATAGGGGTACCAGAAGGAGAAGAGAAAGAGCAAGAAATTGGATATCTAGTTGAAAAAATAATGAAAGAAAACTTCCCTAATTTTGTGAAGGAAATAGACATGCAAGTCCAGGAAGCACAGAGAATCCCAAACAAGGTGGATGCAAGGAGGCCCACATCATAATTAACATGACAAATGTTAAAGATTAAAAGATGGGAGGGTAGCTGTGGGAGAATGGCTGAGAAGTGAGGGGATAAAGAAGTACAAATAGGTAGTTACAGAATAGCCCCGGGGATGAAAGTACAGTACAGGAAAGGGAGTAGCTGAAGAATCTACATGCATGACCTATAAATATGAACAAGCGTCGGGGGGTTGCCTGAGAGAGTGTGGGTTGCTGGGGGGAGAGGAACAAAGGGGGAAAAATCAGGACAACTGTAATAGCATAATCAATAAAATATAATTTAAAAAACAAAACAAATAGACTGCCTCTTGTATACCTGGAGGAATCCTGACATCCAGTGGTTAACCATACTCATAGCAATCAACTAACTGCAATAATGTATGACTGAAAAAACCAAAAACCTTCCTCTTATTTTTACTTGGATTGCCTTTCTGAAGTCATAGGAATTGGTCATTCCTTTTCAGTATAAACACATTGAAAAATAACTACCAGCTAGAAGCAATACCTGTTCTATGACTGGAAGCAGAGTAGTACTAGAGAAAAAGCCAATGTTTTGAATTGAGACAGACAAGGGTTCAAATTCTTGCTTTGTTATTATTTATGCCTACAACTTTGGAAAACTAATTTGTCTAAGCTCTGGGGCTTTTGTCCTTACAATCTCCAAAATGTTTAGCCTTTTTGTTGTAAAATAAAATATAGATAGAGCAACCGAACAAATGCATAGTTTCTTAAGCTATTGTAAGTGATTATTAGGTCAACATCTTTAATTACCTCCCAGGTCATAAATAGACTGCCCCAGCCACCCCAGAATTCCTTCCACAATCCATCCCAAGCTTTATTTATTCCTCCCCTGTAAGGAACTGCTATTCTAGCTTTTACAGTAATCACTTCTCTTAGGCCTTTGTCACCTGTGTGCTATCCCTACACAAGAGTATTGACAAGATTTCAAAAATTTTGACATATCTATTTCTACTTTTTCTTGTAATAAATTTATATGAGATTTGACTGCAATAATTTTCTGTTGCTCATTTTCATGTGAATTTAGTTTTCCTGAATTTCTGGGAGGAAGTTAGGTCCAAGATAGCGCTTTTAACCTAACAGAGTTTCCTATTCTGTTGTCTTCTTGCGATGGTCCAAAGTACGGTATCTTTCTCCCTGAGGTCTCCTGATTGTGTTTGCCACCCCCCCGCCCATGTGGACTCTCACCCCTGTACTGCTTGATTTTGATGTCACTCCCAATGTGGGCCTCAGTTCGGAGAAGGAACCCGACAGCCCGGTTTTTCATGAATTCCTAGGGTCCAGACTGTTATATAGTTCCCTTAGCCATAGTTTTTCAATGATAAAAATTAGCATGATAACACCCAACTCTTCAAGTTGTGAGGATTTCATGATATACTTTACATGTACATTTTGTACTTCACATAAACTTACCATGTAATAAAATATTGTAGTTTTTTAAATAGCTATATTTATTGTGTTTTTTATTATTTGAGATAGTATGCTAAGCACCTTGCGTCATCTTTTTAAATTCCCAGGACAACCTTATGAGGTAACTACTATTGTAGCCCCATTTTGCAGTGGGAAAACCTTGGATAAAAAAGGTAAATAAGTTTGTCAAAATCACACAGCTAGTATGACTATTTGGTTATTTTTAGAAAATAAAAAAAATCCCCCTTCTCCTCAATAAGACACGAATGGTACAATAAATTGACATTTGTCTCCATGAAAATATCAGCCCTGAATGATATATACAACCCAGCAATCCTACTCCTAGACAAGGCCGGGATTTCATCCCATCTTAACTTCCATCTGAGCCCTGATATCAATTTCTAGGCCCACAATGCTGCATTACTCAACAGATTCTCTTAAGATTCCAGTTTTATTTCCACAAAGTGGAACTCACTTTGCTTTTGTAGAACTCACTCCAGGGTAAGTCATTTGAGTAAGATCCAAGCTTATCCCCAAATCTGCACTAGGTTGAATTATCACTTTTTCTAGCCAATCAAAGTCTCCATCGTTCTCACAAAATTCAGATGAGTTAACTTAATGTATGAGACTATGGTTGAAACTGTTTAAATGAAAACCACTTTATCACTCAGATTTCTTTTTATAGAACTTTATACCTAACAAACTTGGTATGTAATTCAGCTCAACACTTAAGTTTCATCTTGTTGACTGAAAAATATAATCTACCTAATTTACATAAAACTTACCTGATCCTAAAGAATCGGTTATTGCGGTTTTGTTATTCCATTCAAGGCTGATGTAGGTTTATTAAGAGTGCCAGAATATATAAATGTAAAGTTATATCATATTTCTTTAGGCTCATGAAATTGATGTCTAAGTAGGTTTTACAGTTTATTTTTCCAGACAAATATTTTGAAAGAGAAAACCTCTCTAATCTCTCTGTTTCTATATGTATTTGAAGTAATTTTAGATGCAATTATATTGAAATATTTGTAATAAGATTTATTTTTATCATTATAACTAAACTTTAACCTAGAGAATAATACAAAGTATCCTGTCTATAATACAAAGTTTTGATGGTAGGAATTTGTCAATAAATACCTGAGAGAGAGCATATCAAAAAGGATAATTCTAATTCATACCATTCATTCATTTACTTAGTGATTATTTAATATTTACCACATACTATGAATTATGCTAAGCCTTGAAAATATAAAAATAAACAAAATAGATCCCTACCCATATGGAGATTACAGTCTACATTTATGATATTATAGGAGTTAACTTTAAAAAATGAGTTCTAGTTAAATGTTAATATAGTTTTAATATTACCCAATATAAAATTACGGTGTTGGAAAGTTTCAAGAAAAGCAAAAAATTAGTATCTTAAATCAAAATATTAAGGTTGATTTTCAAACACATAATTTTGAAAATAAGGTAACACTGAAAAAGTATCAAAGATAACATTAAGAAATTTCCCCTATAGACATTTTTCATAAAAACTTTTGTAAACAAAACTTGTTTTTACCTAGTATTTGACGGATTTCTGGCCATTCTCTCTGTACTTCCAGTGCAGACTTGAGTTTAGCACACAGGGGGATATAATCCATGTAATCTATTAATACACGAATAACGCTGCCTGCCAAGTGTTTCATCCAAGGAACTGTAATAAACTCACAGAACTGAGAGAATTGATATAATTTAATATAGCAGTACTTTTAATATACCATATACATAAACATTCAATTTTGTTATGAAAATTACTATCTTTGTCCTTTTTCAGGGAATGAAAAGTCCATCCTTATAATGAACGAAAGCAAAAAGTAAATTGTTTGCTTATTTCTGTGAAACTATAGGTCCTGAAGTTACTACATGCATGGCTCTGATGTGATTGTGGTCAACATAACATGGAAGAATCATGCTTCTTTCCATGATTATTCTTTCCATGTTTCTAGCCCCAATATTCCACTGAATAAGCATAAGTCATTAACTATATACATTTTTACACTCTTCGACATTCAGTTTCCAATTCAATAAAAGTAAACACCAACTTTGGTGCCTAGTTTTATGCTTATATCCCCACATTATGCCAGCAAAAATTCAAGAACAAGAAAAATATAAAAGTTAGAGTTGATTTTTCTTTTCTTGTTACATCTCTAAATGAGTCGAAGTTATGATGATAACCCAATATGCAGAATGAAAGAATGTAACTCACCGGGTTATCCTTTATTACACAAGAGGTCCATCCCGGCAGTACCTCTTCCTCTATCTCTGACCACACAAATGAATTCCCAAAGATGTCCCCGTGCATGCACTCAAAGCAGAGCTCCACTTGATAGCCATTATTCAGCAACAGCCTCAACATTACCTCATCATTTAGGGCATACTGAATGGCACTGGGGAAACGAGTGTCATTCACATGCATAAAATAACAGTTGACATTAGCTCCATGGGTGAGAAGCAGCCGGACAATTTCATGATTATTGGCCCTCACAGCCACAAGTAGACAGTTGAGGGGATCTAAGTTTGGGTCTGCACCTGCATTCAGAAGGACTTCTGTGCAACGGATATCATTGTTAGAAACAGCAAAATAGAGCGCAGTCTTCCTCTCGTCGTCATAGCTCTCAGAAATGTGGTCAGCAAGCAGGGCATTGACATCAAAACCATTTTCAATGAGCAGTTCCAGGCACTGTACATTTTGCCCATCTGCTGCTGAATGAATTGGTGTTAGCCCACTTTTCCGGATTGCGTTTTTGGACGTTACTGGGATAAGATATTTCAGTGCACTAAAAATAAAAAAAAAAATTTTTAATCAAATATCCACATGGCATGAAGACAATCAAAAAAATTAATTAAACCAGCTTCCTCACTAGAGGAATGAATGCAGTTTGTTTAGTTTCCTTTACTTTTGCTAGATAATCTTGTATAAACACACTTAACTTTTGATCATAGACTTCCTGCTACTTAGTTTAGTGCACTTTAGCATAGTTGTGTTAGAAGTTATAAACATAATTTTATTGATACAGAAGAGGAAAATGGGTTGCAATTGAAGAGCCAGAGGAAGATTCAGAGGCTATGACATTAACTTCCCTTGTCCTTGTTTTAGAGGAAAACGCATTCATCTTCCACTGTTACGAATGACGTCAGCTATAGGTTTGGTGGTGGTGGTGGTTAATTTAGGTTTTATTTAGCTTCCCATTCCAAATATTCCTGGGATCATGCTGGATCTTATGTTTGGTCCTAGAATTTTGGTTCTTCAGGAACCCTCCCCATATTTTCTTCTCTGAACAACATAAAATTTATCAGCAACAAATGCTATTTAATGAAGAATATAAAAGAAAAGTAAATCCATCTGATGTCATAGAGAAATGTTTCACAATCTTGATCATTATTAGAATCATGGAGTCACAGGAAGTTAAAGCTGAAGTAACCTTGAACGTCACTTAAGTGCAACTCCTTCATTTAACAGAAAAGTCATATGAAGTCTGGAAAGTGAAATGACTTGTCCAAGGTTACACACACATGGAGCAAGGATTAGAATTTAAAACTCTTGAATTCTCATTATTGTTAATACTCTTCCACTGCTTTTTGAGCTATCCATACTTTAATATCCATACAGACAGGCCGTGTATATCCTGTCTGCTTCAATATAACTTGAGATTGAATTATTAGCCATAAGAAGAGTTTTTATTATTTCATCAACCTTATATCTGTCCAAATGAGATAATTAACCAGAGCTTATGTTTCTAAGGACTAGCGATACTTGTAAATTTCACACTTCACTGACCAACTAGACATGCATAAGAGCCACCAGTAAGGATAACTTGATCTCTTGTGCCTAATTCAGAGCTACCATGTGTGAATTTATGAACACCCTGGGAACAAATCCAGGTAAACTTTAACAACATGTCACTTAGAGTCAATTATGTCATTGGCTACCTAGCTAATGTAGCCACTGAAGGTGATAAAACCTAAGTATTTCAAAGTTTTTTAATGTATTAAATATACTTAATTGACTAAAATGAATCTCTCATGGCAGTAGTTTACTATCATGATTATAGACTTCTATTGATATGTCAATTGTGTCACATTTTGTGATTTAAGAATCTATCCAATAATTTTTTTTAATAAAGAAATCTATACTTACAGTGAAATATCTTTACTCAATGATATATCGGACATTATAACATCCATACATGCTGCTAAATAGAGTAATATTGATACTATTTTCACAAATTTTGATTCTTTGCAAAGAGCAAAAGTTTTAGAAACTCTGTAGCATACTTTAAAAAAACAGAAAGGCATATTTGGGTGGCTTGTGAAGAATTCTCATGTGTAAATTACTTCTAAAAGAGAAACTCTCCACTATAAAAGTAGTATAAATTCAGTTTATATATAAAGCACAAAAACATATATGATGTGTCTTGGTGTGGGCCTCTTAGAGGATGGGTGAAAAAAATGAAGGCAAAGAAAAAAAAAAGAAATACAAATTGCCAGTTATAAAAAATGTCACAGGGATGTAAAATACAGCATAGGGAATATAGTCAATAATATTGTCATAACATACATGGTGTCAGATCAGTACTAGACTTATCAGGCTGAGCACTTCATAAGGTATGTAAATGTCTAAACACTATGATGTACATCTCAAACTAATATGATGTTATATGTCAACTATAATTAATTTTTTTAATTTTTAAAAGTAAAAAATATAAAAAGAAGGGGAGAATCAAACAAATGCTTAGAGGAACAAAACTTTTGAACATTTTGACTATTTCTTTTTGATGATGGGGGTTATTATATAGAGAGACTTGTGATTATATCGTATATGCAATTTTGTATGTTTTAATTTAAGATGATCATCATATGATTTATCACTCACAGATAATGTCCCTCGTAGGCAGCTCGGTGTATGGGAAGATGCCCTGCTCTGTTAGGCACATTTCCACTTCCTCCATATTCCAGCAGGAGAGAAATGCAGTCAGGATTACCTCCTCCTGCCGCGTCAAACAGCACCGACGCCCCATCATCCGCCAAAGCATACACATCACCCCCTGGCAGTGTAAACACATGGCATGGTGATAACTGGATGGATTGTCAAGATAGGCTCCTTAAAGATAGTCTGTTTTCTTTTCTGGTAAGGACTTAATATTAAAACTATAAAGTTAAGAACATCTATGTTCTCAACATTTTTAATAAACAATTATGCAGCATATTTCATTTTATCAGAAAATCTTTGTATCATGAGAACATCTGAGAAGTGAGTCAATTTCTACAGCAGACAAATACCCCAGGAAAAGGGATAGTTAGACTTTTAAGTCATAAGACAACAGTTAACACTCTGTTTCATTTTGAACAAATATTTATCAACTGCACTCTATGAATAAACACTGTGTGTGACTCAAGAGGAGATCCTAACATGAATGACTCCACTTTAAGAAAATGAGAGGGGACATGAAACAAAAAGTCATCAAAGAACACAAACTGCAACACTGACGCGACATCAAGACCAGCAGGCTCAACGTGGGGGAAAGAGGCCTGTGTCTGCACTACGGCTCTGCTGCCGACCTTGGGAGTTGGGGGCTAGCTATTGACTTCTATGAACCTCCATCTCCTCATCTAAACTGGGGCAACACAGCTAATGTCATAGTACTTATTTAATAATTAAATGAAGTTGTGCTTTGGGGGCCTCAAAAATGTTGGTCTTTTCCTCACTGATAATCCTCAGGAGTCATGTGTTCCTAGCCTTTATTTATAGATGAGAAAAGTGAGGACCAGCAGGCAATGAGTAAGTGGCAGAAACCAGTTTCTGAATTGGGTTTCCTAATTCCTGGTTCTGTAGTTGCAAAAAACATTTGGTGGTTTCAAAGAGGGGCAACATCACCAACTGTTGAGCAGAGTTAGAGAAGGCTTTAAGGGAGGAGGTGTCTCAAGAAACTGATTTGGAATTATGTTGGACGAAATTCCAGACGAAGGCAAAGAGTTGACCTCAACTCAGACGGCAAAATGTGAGGTGCGCTTGGGAGTACTGTCATCTAATTTGGCGGGAGTGCAGGGCATAAGATGGAAGTTGGGAAGGATACACCCAGTAAAACAATGCAGGATGACGTAGTGGGGACCTCTGCACGATTCACTGGGCCGTGGGAGCCCCTGAGGATTCTTTGACTTATTTACGCTATGGCAGCTGTCCTTTAGGCAGAGGAGCTGGGTTCAGTATGCAGTGAGCATTCTCCAGTGGGGTGACTGGAAACCTGGAGAAAAGTTAAGAAACGAGTGCATTTCCAGAGAAGATGTGAGGGGCCTGACCACGATGCAAACCAGAGGGACAGCCAAGGAGAGCAGGCGAGTGAGACACTGGAGCGCTCAGCCACTGGCTGGACTTGAAAAAGAAGGTGATGAAAGAATTAGAGATAAATCTAAGCTTTCAGTCTTGGATGAGAGAAATTATTAAATCAATAGTGTAAAAGAAGAGGAATTCAGTTTAGGAGAAGATGAGTATGAAACCCTGGTGAGTCTTCTGTGTGAAAATGGGCTGTTTCTAGAGAGAGCAATCAGGGCTGCACATGCAAGTTTGCAGGTACCCGTGAGTAGGGCTTAACTGAGTTGTGGAATAGAGGGTTTTGCGGGGGCTATTGAAAGCTGGGTAGCCGAGCCTCATGCCCAGTTACATTCAGGAGAAGAAGAAAAGCCAGCGAGTAACAGAGAAAAGGAAATCAGAGGGGCAGGAGAAAAGTCAGGAACATGCAACTGCTTTCCACGTACCTTTGTGGATTAGGTGTTCCAACACATCACAGTGACCGTACTCAGCAGCCACACCTAATGGTGTGACTCCAAACCCGTCTCTCAGGTGGACATTGCCTCCGTGCTTCAGCAGCAGAGCGATGAGATCTTTGCGGCCTTGCTTGGCTGCTTCATGCATTGCCGACCACCGCTTGACACAGGGCTGGTCGAGGCTGGTGTTGTATTTGAGCAGAGCAGACACCATGTCATAGGAGCCCTTTTTTACAGCTTGGGGATGATTTCCAAAAGAACAATTGACAGTAGGCATGTTAACAGGAATATCTTAGATGGTATTAAATTACCAAATTTAATATCAAAAGAGATATTCGCTACTCCCTTCTATGAGAGAAAATGGTATTTTTCATGTTCCTCTCATTTCTTATATCCAAATTTCTTCTGTGGAGCATATGCATGCAAAATAATGCTGCCTTTTCTTTAAGACCCTGACTGAGGTTGTCCAAGGGTTTCATGAAAAATAGAGCACATTGCTAATATGCTGTATTTAATTTTTATAAATTTTAACTTCTTCATAAACAAAATAACACCACTGCTGGGTTGCATAAAATAAATGGCATATGTAAAATGTCTAGTATATACTAGGATCCCAGTAAATGATAAATTTATTATTAATAATATCATTTCATCACTTATAAGCCCCTGGGAACACATGTGTATATAAGATTTATCAAGTTTTTCCCCACCTAAAAATAGTCTGCCCCCCCCCCCCGCCAAAGACAGCATTATGAATAAGCTACTTTCTCCCATGCTCTTAATGGGAATTTAACAATAGGAATCTTTAGAATCTAGGTAGGATGATTGTTCTAAACAGATGGAGCATATGACAGTTAATGTATTTCAATTGCAGAGGATTACAAAATCAGCTGCCTCTCTCCCCATCTGCTTGTCGCTCGTAGCTGAAACTACACTGTTCTATGGGCCACATAGAACATCCTGGGCAACAAGGAGGCAGAATGAAGAAAGAATGTAAGGCCAAGGCAAGGGAGAGGACTCCAAAAGGCATTCAGGGAGGATGAAGACCAACTTTTTCTACTACCTTTGGAGGCAAGCAAGCCATCAGTGCTGTGGGATTTTAGTTTAACTTCTATCCACTGTCTAAACTAGAGTCTGTTGACAAATGTCTTTCTCTGAATCACCCACCTGCCACTGGCAGCTCTAATTACAGTGAATTACCTCATCCTAGCTGGTGTTATTGCAGAGCAAACATCAACAAGTTAAATGAACTAAGAGGTGTGTCCTCATTTATCTTCTTTCTCTTATTGCATTTTTCCTTTTGCCTGACTCAGAGAACATAGTGATTAAAGATATTAATCTTTCTTCCAGAAAACAACAGCATATATAGGCCTTATTCAACTTAAAATACTTTTTAAAATAAAACTTTCCTTACAGTTTAGTTTTTTGGGAAGAATATATTTAATTTCCCATAAAAATAATGCAAATAGTAGGCAGCCCCTCCCAAGCTAACCCACAAAGACATTCCTAACCATTAAATGCCTGAAATAAAAACTAATTAGACACGACATTTGTATAAAACTAGGTAAAATACAAACTAAATAATTTTTGATTCTTGCTTCGTTGAATCTGCAGATGTGAAACCAGAGGACAGAAATGGCCAATTGTATTTGTTGAGAAGAATATGCATCTGAGTGGTCCCATGCAGTTCAAACCCGTACTATTCAAGAATCAACTGTATTTCTTTAGTAAGACTATTAAGAAAGAAGAATCATAGTAACAGATAAGATTAACATTTAAAGTGACATCAGAGGAATGGCAGCATGAGAGATCCACTTGGTCTCTCCCCCTTGAAGTTCAACAGTTTGAAACAGCTATAACTCAACAAAGGATTCCCTGCTCAATGAACAAATATGCCTGAGAAATCTGCACATTGAAACAGTTCAAGGTGGAAAAGAAGAGGTAGATGAAAATGGAGAGGGGCTGACATGAGCCACGGACACAGTTGGGCAGCAAGGAGCTCACAGCGAGGCTCTGCTAGGGAGGGGAGGAACCTGATGGTGGCTGACACTCCCTTTAGCCAAGAGGAGCAAAGAGACTCAGTGGGCACCCCTGCAGAAGTGAGCAGTGCAAGAAGCTGCAGCTGAGCCAAGAGAACGGGGCAAGAACACACAACACAGGAGTGTGGCCATGGTTAGTTAGATGGTCAGCATTTCAGACCAAGAAACAAAGCCATGAAGCCTGGCCACCTCCCTTTAACCTCCCCTTTGCCTCCTAGAGCATGGCTTTCTTTCCTCTTGGTATCAGGCTGCGGAGCACACTTTCTAAGAGCCCACGAACTAGTACTACAGAATCATATTACTGCCTAAACAAAGGGTGTATTCTGAGACCAGTCCTGGGGTCAGGGTGTAGGGATGTTTTACTGAGAGGGCAAAACAACAAAGAAATTGGCAGGTTCCCCCAGCCCCACCCAACCCCAATGCATCACAGCTACACTAACAGCAGCCAAAGATGGCAAGTTGACACTGGGCTCTCAAAAGCTAAAAAAAACTTTTAGTTCAGGGTCATCTACTAGAAAAGAATAGAAAGACCTTTTTACATTAATCTACTAGAGAAGAGCCAATCACACATTGATGCCTAGACAGAAGGAATCTATCCAATACCATAACTAATCATGGTAGAGAGGCAGATCAGAAAGGAAATGAAAAATCTCCAGAAAACAAACTTAAACAAATGGAAATACATGACATAAATGACAGAGAGTTCAAGACTAAAATTCATAAAATACTCAGAGAGATGCAAGAAAATACAGACAGGCAATTTAGTGAGCTCAGAAAACAACAAACAAAATAATTACTTCAACAAAGAGATTGAAACTTTAAGAAAGAACCAAACAGAAATTCTGGATGAGAAGATTTCAATGACAGAGATCAAAAAGGAACTAGCACACATAGGAAATAGAGCAAACCAAATAGAAGAAAGGATCAGTGATAACAAAGATAGAAATCTGGAAATAATGCAGAGGGAAGAAGAAAGAGACCTGAGCATTAAAAAAAAAAAAAAAAATGAAAGAGCTCTATGAGAACTATCTGACTCCATTAGAAAAAGCAATACAAGAATACCAGACATACGAGAAGAAGAAGAGAGGGAGAAGGAAACAAAGAGCCTTCACAAATAGTTGATGAGAACTTCCCAAATCTATGGAAAGAACTAGCTTCTCAAATCTAAGAAGCAATTGTAACACCTACTTACCTAAGTCTAAGGAGGCCGCTTCCAAATCACATGGTATTAAAACTGTCAAAAATTAATGACAAAGGAAAAATTCTTACCCTGGCTGGTGTGGTTCAGTGGACTGAGTGCTGGCCTGCAAACCAAAGGGTCACCAGTTCAACTCCCAGTCAGGGCACATGCTTGGGTTGTGGGCCAAGTCCCCAGTTGGGGGTGCATGAGAGGCAACCACACATTGATGTTTTTCTCCCTCTCTTCCCCCCCTCCCTCCTTTCCCCTCTCTATAAACAAACAAACAAACAAACAAACCTTTAGAAAAAAAAGAAAGAATTCTCAAGGGAGCCAGGGAAAAAAAGAAAGTAACCTGTAAAGGAAAGCTCATTAGGTTATCATTGACCTTTCTAGCAGAAACTCTACAAGCCAAAATGGAGTGGAACCAAATATTCAAACTACTGGAAGAAAGAAATTACTAGCCAAGAATAATATATCCAATAAAGTTATCCTTCAAATATGAAGGAGAGGTAAAGACTTTTCCAGACATACAGAAGCTGAGGCAATTCATTACCAGAAGACCTCCATTGTGGGAAATACTCAAGGGTTTTATTCTACCTGAAATAAAAAAGAAAGGTCACAGCACTATGAGTAAGATCACCAACAAACTTAGAGCACAAACAGGAATAATTTGTGACAACAAAACATAAAAGGGAAGGGAAAAAAGACCTGAATTAGCAAAGGAGGATGCAGTTTACATGCATTAAAAAAAAAAAAGACTGCTATATATATGAAACTTTTTTCCCCTATATTTAGTGGTAACCACACACACACAAAACTGAGACACACAAAAATAGAGGAAAAAGAGGAAAGAAGTATGGAATACCACCAAACAAAAACAGACAGAAGCACAAAGAAAAAGAATCCATGGAGGCTCAGAGTGACCAGTAAACAAAAGATAAAATGGCTATAGGAAATCCGCATACATCAATAATTACCCTAAATATAAATGGACTGAATTCATCAATAAAGAGACACAAAGTAGCAAATTAGACTTAAAAAAAACACAACCAAGCATATGCTGCTGTCAGGAGATACATCTAAGCTGCAAAGACAAAGGTAGATTCAAAGTGAAAGGGTGGAAAATGAGTCTCCAAACAAATAATATCCACAGAAAAGCAGGAGTAGCCATACTTATATCTGACAAAATAGGTCTTGAGATAACAAAGATCACGAGACAAAGGTGGACATTTTATAGTGATAAAGGGGACACTACATCAAGAAAACATAATGCTTCTTAATATGTATGCACCCAAGCAGAAAGCACCTAAATATATAAAGCAACTACTAACAGAACTAAAGAGAGAAACAGAGACAAACACAATCATAGTTGGAGAACTTAATACTCCATTGATAGCTCTAGACAGTTCATCCAAACAGAAAATCAACAAAGAAATATCAGCCTTAAATGACATGAGGTCAAATGGACATAATTGATATTTACAGAGCCTTTCATCCCAGACCATCAGATTCTATGTTCTTCTCTAATGCCCATGGGACACTCTCAAGGATAGACTATATTTTGGGTTACAAAACTAGCTTCAATAAATTCAAGAAGATTGAAATTATACCAAGCATATTCTCTGACCACAATGCTTTGAAATTATAAATCCACTGTCAAAAGGAAGTACAGAAACCAACAAATATGTGGAGATTAAGCAACATACTACTAAAAAATGACTGGGTCAAAGAAGAAATAAAATGTGTGTTCAAAAGATATGTAGAGGCAAATGGGAATGACAATACAGCATATCAAAACTGGGATGCAGTGAAAGCAGTAATAAGAGGAAGTTTATATCACTACAAGCTTATCTCAAGGAACAAGAGAAATTCCAAGTAAACAACCAACATATCTTAAAGAACTGAAAAAGAAAAACAAAAGCAACCCAAAATGAGAAGAAAAGAAATAATAAAAATAAGAGAAGAATGGAATGAAACAGAGAACAATAAGACTATACAAACAATACAACAAAGACCTGGTTCTTTGAAAACACTAACAAAATTGACAAACCACTGGCTGGATGCACCAGGGAAAAAACGGAAAAGACTCATGTAAACAAAATCAGAAATGAAAGAGAAGTTATCACAGATATCAGAGATATAAAACGGTCACACTAGAGTACTATGAAAGACTATATGCCCTCAAATTCAATAACCTGGAAAAGATACATAAGTTCCTAAACATATAGCCTTCCTAGACTGAATCAGGAAGAAATGGGAAATCTAAGTAGACTGATAAACAATGAAGAAATTGAAATGACCATCAAAAAGATCCCCCCAAAATAAGAATCCAGGACCAGGTGGCTTCACTAGTGAATTCTACCAAACATTAAAAGATTTGATACCTGTCCTTCTCAAACTCTACTAAAAAATTGGAGAATAGAAAATACTTTCTAACACATTTTATGAGACCAAAGTAATCTTGATATCAAAACCTGGCAAGGATAACAGTAGAAAACTACAGACCAATATCTCTGATTAATACAGACACAAAAATCTTAAACAAAATACTAACAAAGTGAATACAACAATGCATTAAAGAATAATACATCACAGTCAAGGGGGATCAATTCCACAGAGGAAATATATGGTGAGGGAAGATGGTTTGACTTTGGGTGGTAGGCACATGTATCATAGAAATGTGCACTTGAAGGTTATGTGATCGTATTAACAAATATCACCTCAATAAATTTGTAAAAAGAATAAATAATTTATGAAACCAAAAATACACATACATATCTTCAGTAATAATGCTTTAAGAAAACCAAGTTTCAGTTAAGGTGTTAAGAATTAGAGAATTTTGCATAGTTTATAAATACTTTCAAACACTTTATAGTTGCCTGGCACTTTTCCTTTTTATTTTAAATTTCTGTCACTTTCTTTGTGAGTATATATGTTTTGCTTGTGTAATTTACTTGTCAGCAATGAACTATTTCCTGACTTTTATGACATACAAATTGAGAAGATTTTTCTGAGGTATCTTGACAGGGATTGGAAGATTGAAAGTGGCAATGGAGTGAAGAGGATATATTTTGATTTGTAAGAAAGAAAATGTCTAAAGCAAAATTTCTTGGCTTTTTCTGTACTCTGGGCCCCACTGGTAGAAGAGTCTTGTGGCTATCTGATTAGAGGGGGGCAGAGAGGGAATGAGTGCAAAAAAACCTTAGTAAGTGTCAAATCATCAAAAACCAGATATCTATAATTCAGCAGGTAACTGTGCAACATCAAAGTACCGTAGTAGGTCAGAAATGACTTTTTTTGGCCATCTAAGGATATCCATAAATAAATACAAGGATGATGGGATTGGGTTAAAAAATAAAATTGGCATTGCACAGAAAAATAAAAAGAACAGCATCTTTTTCTCTTATTTCTCTTCACGAGTAATGGACCGTGAGTAGCATATTTTGAAGTAAACTCATGAGAAAAAACTGAGATAGTGCCATGAATGATCCATTTTCCTACGAACCTCAAAAGATGACATGATTTCCACAATGAAGGTCCTGAGGAAGGTAACCCCCCCCCCCCCGCAAAATTCTTATTCTCCAGAGATGTGGTGAGACATAAGTAAACATATCCAGAATATTTCCCTCATGAGACTTTTGTCTTCTCTTTTATATTACCATTTGGTTTTTAAAATATATTATTTCCAAATGTTAATTTTATTTTGACTCTGATAATCCAATGATTAAATTTCTTTCCCACACTTCTGATACTGCTAGTGTACAGAAACCAACAAATAAAACTCTGAAATGCATATGAATGCGTAATGTTCTATTGCGGGCATTAGACATTAAAAAATTTAAATGAAGCAAAAAGAAAACAACTGAATGACAATTATGACTTATTTGTTCCTTTGAAATAAGTGGGCCAAGAACATCAAGTAGAGGCTAATTCTGTATTTATAAAGTGACATGGTATACAAACTTTGGAAAGGGTGTCTTTTTTGAAGAAGAAGAAATAGAAGACTATAGAAAAAACAACAAATACAAGGATGTCCTTGCAGATACTCCATGGTATATGCCTTTACAAAAATAATATAGGTCACATTAATAGTGGTACAGCAACCCATAGGTGAATATCTTATTTAGTGCCTGTAGTGCCAATTCAGGAAAAGAGCTCTGGTTTATTTCTGAGAAGTACCATGTTATGTTGACATAGAGGCTGGTTAACATGTATATAGAGGCAGCTACCTTTCCCCTATACTCATATTTCCCCTTCTCCCTGCAACAGGAGAAGCCCTCAAGTTTTAGCTGTTGCAGCCTACCCGGGTAGAGTCTACATATCCAAGCCTGCCTTGTACCTAAGAATGGCTACGTGACAAAATCTGAACTAATGGTATATGAATGGAAAGGTTGTGGGCAGTGTCCAGGTCATCTCCTCAAAGGTGAGCTGTTTTCCCAAGGCTTCCTCTTGCCTCCTTCCCACTGACTGGGAAATAGTGACATCTGAAAGTTCTGTGTCAAGGTGGCAAAGCCACACTGCCATATCTGGGCCACACACTCAGAAATGTTGTGAGAGAAAGAAATGAACTTTTTTTCTGTTTAAGTCGTTGTTTACTTTATGTATCTGTGTTCTTTCTTGTTGCTGCTACAAAAGCTTTGCCTGTACCCTAACTATAATATTAGATTGTCCAAAGAATCTGAATTTAGGAAGGCTGAATGCTCTGACATGGGGCAAGAGTAAGCAAGGAGTGAGAAAGGAATGACACCAGGTAGTGGTGACCTTATTTATTTAACAAGTTATGTCCAGGGACAGAACTTCTGACCAGATTTTCCTCCTCTGTCTGCTGATGACCCCTCTAAGTCCCCCAAGTCAAATTACAAGACCAACTATCTCTTTGAACGCTTCACAGATCCAGTGCTTTCTTATTTCCCTAATTTGCTTTGAATGTACATCTTTGCTATAGTATTTGTAACACTAATTTTCTATTTAAATCATATGTAACTCTCCTACGAGACTCTTTGAGAGAAAGAAGTTTATTCCATTCATTTTTATATCCATGCTGACTTAATGTAACTTCTCAATAAATGATGGTTGAATTGATGTTGTTAAATTAAGGTTGTTGATTGTAAATATTTTATTAATGTTCATGACTTTCCTAAGTTTTCTGTGATCTATATTTAGGTTGTTTTTAAAATTCGAGTGACTTCTCTGTGAACAGGAGCTGTGGCAGTGTTAACTAGCTATGACCACAGCTCATGGTGCTCTGTTCTTTTACTCTTGCCACATGCGTGTGCACTCGCGCGCGTGCACACACACACACACACACATGTTTTGCAGTGGCTCTCCTCTCCTGAGCAGCTATTATGGGGCAGGGGTTTAGTATATTTATATTTTCTCTATTTTTTATGGTAATTCTTCATGACAAGTAGCATAATTTCATTTAACACAGAGGAAACTGAGGCCCATAATTGCAATCTCCTAGCTAGGATTTAAATCTACATAATACTATGCTGTATATTTGAAAGTTGCTAAAAAAAAAGTAGATTTTAAAAGCTCTCATCATAAGAAAAAAATCATAGCTATGTGAGTGATATGTTAACTAAACTTACAGTAATCATTTTGTAATATATACATATATAAATCATGTCATATGCCTTAAACAAATATAATGTTATAAGTCAATTATACTTCAATAAACCTGGCAGAAAATAAATCCACAAATCTCAAATTCTACGAAAACCCAAATTCTTACGCAACAACCTCATGTCCATAAGAGAAGGGAATTGTTATTTCTGGTTGTTCATAGTGAATATCATGTCTCTTGGTTTCTGCAGAACAGACCTGCTAATTTAATTGGTCAATGAACAGCAGAATACACAAAAGGGGGAAGAAGTGATAAATGACACCTTTAGATTTATTATTATTCCTTTGATGTGTCATAGCAATGAACCCCTTATAGGTGCCCAGAGCTGCATCTGACTGAGTTCTCCGGATCTGTGGGCTCCTCTTCCTTCCAGTTTGACTTCATTGTTCTGATGCAGACCTGGAGTCTCTCTTTGGAATCCCCTTTCTGCCTCTCTCCTCCTACAGTACACCAAACATGCAATCCTCCTTACAGCTGGACCCTACCTAGAGAATATTTCTTTAGAAGTTCTGGTTTCATAAAACTAGTTTGGATGCTTCCTGGTTACCTGGTGTTGAAGGATCTTTCACATTTGACCTCTTTGTGGGATAGAAAAACAATATCTTAGGACAGGTGAAATGGGAGATAAGGGAAGAACACAGGGAATGGAAGAAGATGAAGTCACATAATTTTAACTAATACATAGTGGTTTCCAATAAACATTTAGTAAATATTTATTATTTGTTTCAAACTTTAAAAGTTGTAGAAAAAAGGTCATTTACCAATCAGAAGAGGTGTCTCTCCTTTGTCATTCTTGGTGTTTGGCCATATTCCCTTTTCTAGTAAAGTTCTTATATTTTCCACCAGACCAGCTTTGACTGCCAAAGTCAAGGGTGTTTCCCCATCAGAGGTCTTGAACTCCCAGAGTGTCTTATAGGATGCTGACATGTAAAAGCATTGTGTAAAGTTAAAAATCTTATTTAAAGGATATCACACAGATCAGGATAATACATTATTATATATATTATATTGAACAAAGTCAATTGATGAAAAAGCGAAGACTAAAAGGAGATGAGTGTAAATAGATTAACATGGGCTTGATAATCAATTTGACAGCTAAAAACCAACATCCGTGCTTTTTTATCTATATATATATAAAAGGTTTGTAAATTCTCATTTCTTGATAAATTGTAAATCAACTTCCCAATCCTTAGTATTTGTTATTTAAGTTGCATCTGAAATTGTTTTTTGTCAAATGAAGTTTATGAATGTGGGAATGAGCATACATATGAATGAATGTATCCTGTGAGAATATATTAGTTATACTATGCTTAATATCATCTTCTATATTTGCCTGTCTGTCTAGATCTCTATTTTCTTTAGCTGGCCAGCTGGCTGGGGTTGGATAGTTAATCATGAGATATATATATATACATATATATATGTATATATATATATATCTTCTAGAACATAGAACTAGGTAGCAACACTGAGGGTTGAAAGATAGAACACCCTCAGAGTGCTTATGAAAAATACTGTGTTAGAACATGAAAATTATTATTAATATTTAAGCTTGAGCCAATTACCTGATATCTATTATTATTAAAAATTAATGTACTATAAGGACAAATATGGTAAGTACTACTCATATAATAATCTTTTGGACACTATTAACTTAGGAGACAGTTCATGGTTCAAGATGAAAAATTAAAAACTGACTCCAAAAGCAAAAATATTTATGTTCAAATCAATTGATTCATGATATATACAAACTTTCATCATTTTTAGGTGATAACCACCTCTTCCTAACAACCTGTGCCACATTCTTAGAAGGATGCAAAGGGTGAAAACCCTGAAACTTATAATGTGCTGATTTTTGTACCCTATGTTTAAAACATGGGTATTGCATTTTTCCAATTTCAAATAATCTTGTGTTCTGCTTCTATTTTTGCTTGTTATGTTCATTGAGGACACTCCTAACTTGTACATTCTTGCTTAAGTTTGGTCAAAGGGATTTTATGTCCTCTTACCATCCAGAACAATTTCAAGTATTTGTTGAATGGGTTGAACAACAGCTTCATGCAATGGAAACCATCCTTTTTCATCAGCTTCATCTAACGCATGTTTATATTTCACATACTCCTGGAGCTCAAGAATGTGACCTAAATTAAACACAGGGACTGATGACAAATCTCTGCCTTGGCCTGATGAAATGTCTAAGTCATCCCAGGGTATGCAATACACTCACTTACCTTGTTTTATGGCCTCTACTAGTTTTCTGTTTTGATCACTTAGTGCTACAAATCTTCCAGAGAAAGAAACAGAAGCCATAATTATAAGAGTGATATACTTCAAGGAACCAAAATTTTAATTTGTACTGAGTTCTGCATGTAATTTTAATAATCAAGATTTAGAGGACATGCACACAACTGATTTCACCCACTTTAAAAATGTAATGTCTGTGAGTCAGATATAGAGTATATTTATGGTATGTTAGACCTAGGAACATTAGTGAAGATGACACATTATAAGATTATAACACTGTCTCTGGAATTAGTTCCAAGCAGAAGAAGGAGTAAGTAACTGAAGTCAGAAGGGCTGGGCTCAGGTTTCGTGCTTTGTTATCCTGCGGAGGCCAGTTAGCCTTTCTGAGTGGCGGTTTCTTCATCTGTAAAGGGTTGGGAGTAAGTAGGAAGGCTTCTTTCCATATAAAAAATTCTGTGCTCAATAAATGTTTGTTGCTTTAAACTTAATAATTGATAATTAATCATAGCTCATTTGAGAGCTTATGATCCACCCTGCATGTTAGTCTTGATCAGCTCATCCACAAGTGAATACAGGGTGAGCATTTATAGAGCAAACTCCCAGTCACCGGCCCAAGAAGTTATGATTTTAAGCTGCATGGTAGTTCTCTGGTGTGTGTGTGTGCTTATTCAAAGGAAACAAAGCATTTCATAACAAATTGATTGAACTCAATCAAGCAGAAACATTTGCTAGCATTCTAGGGCTGTGATTGCCTTCCTGGGAACTCTAAAGTACTAAAATCTGCTGAAGATAAGGGGAAAATTAAGGAGACCAGAAATTTAAATGTAATATGTCCATTTTACAAAAGCAATAATTTTGTAGCACTAAATGTATTCAAAAGCACTACTAAAATTCAGAATCTAGGATTGTAAATTTTCTAATACAATGTAAAGGTAAACTAAAGTTTATTTTAGTCAGAAGAATAATGTGTGTTGCTCAAGACAGAAATTTACTTTTTCAGCTTTAGGTTCTATAACCCCTGCTAACACAAAACATCAATTTTATGTATAATTTGTTAACTTCTGTCACTTGAAAAGTAGATAATGAAATAGGCTCTGGTTTATATATTACTTTGCCATATATTATAGAAGACCTCAGCCCTTTTCCCATTAATTGAACTTATGGGCTAAGTGGGTTAGCATTATTCTTTGTATTTTAAAAATGCAAAAATAAACTGCATTACTTAAAGAGGTTGCTTGAGTCAGTAGCAGGCTGGCATCTAGAATACATAGAACAGACCTCAGTACACATACCGATGCATTAGTTGTATAACTGGACTTGTAAATTAGTTTAATTTTATTGTCCCTTTCATTCCATTAATTTAGAAAGTAGGCAATTGCGCACGACTTAATTCAACTAGACATTTCCTTTCTGCTTTATTTCCATCGTCTACCTGAGTTGGGCATTTGTGGGAGATCAGGCAGCTCAATCCATCCCATAGCCCTGGCTAGCTGTTCGGTTCTCTGTCAGAAGAGTGAGCATTTTCATGGAAGAGGAGTCAGGAAACACCATTTATCTCATCTTACAACAATTATAAAATGACTTTTAAAAAGACATTTTGTTGAGCATAGTCAATTTGTTACCTTTCGTGATAAAATTCAGTCTTGCTGGCTTCAATGGATTCTTGAATACTGAGCTGAATGTCGTAACTTGTAAGATGATCTTCATCAGGGTCATCATTAGTGTCCATAACTACATATAATTTTGAAAAAAAGAAATTTCTTATTATCGGCAAATGACACAGAACACTAGATAAAGTGAACAAGAAAGATGCAAAATGAAAAACTAAAATGCATTCACCTTTCTCCATTTAACAAACACAAATGCAATTAAGATTTTAATTCATGTTATATATGAAGCCCATTCTAATTTTTGAAGCTTTTAATTACCTGCCTTTTTATTGTCTATATTTTCTAATTTTGACTTTCTTTTCAGTAATGACTACAGTTGGGCTTATAAGAATTCACTTTTTCTTCCCTGACTGGTGTGGCTCAGTGGACTGAGCACTGGCCTGTGAGCCAAAGGTTGCAGGTTTGATTCCTAGTGAGGGCACATGCCTGGGTTGTAAGCCAGGTCCCCAGTTGGGGGTGTGTGAGAGGAAACTGATAGATGTATCTCTCACACATTGATGTTTCTCTCTCTCTCTTTCTCCTTCTTTTCCCCTCCCTCTAAAAGTAAAAATAAATAAAATCTCTTTTTTAAAAAAAGGAATTCACTTTTTCCACATTTCTGACTTAAAAATTTTGGCCTCCGCCATTCTCCACAGCATATTGGACGTTTAAAACTTTAATTGAGAAATAAGACAGTGACAGGGATAGAAAACAGCAAAACCTTCACATTCTTTACCTTTTATTTTGTGCCTGCTGTGCTTGTGTATTTGCTGGTTAATTCCTTTGCTCACACCAGCAATGGTTTGAAATGTCTGTCTTGAATTTTAATTTTTGTATTTGTGTTCAACTTCTTCTAACAGACCCTATGCTTTTTGTATTTTCTTTGCAAGTTCTTCATATATTTGTATTTTGTATTCGCAGTTGGACTGTTAGTTTTATGAATAAAAACAAACTTTCTTTATCATTTATGTCTTCTCTCTCTACTCGACTCCTAGTCAACCACAGCAAATAGCTGCTCTTAGTGGTCACTGGAAAAAATTTGTTGACTCATTAGTAGCAGAAAAGCACTGAGACCTTCAGACAGCAGAATTAGATGATGAAGCTAAACCTGTGGCATTGCCTGTTGCCTCTCACTCTAATATCACTGTGGTGATAGGGGATTGCATGGCCCTGGGATTAGTAATGGGATACAGAGCCTTTCACCTATTTAAATGGCTGGCTTAACTCTGAACTGGTTTGAAATTTGGGCTTCCAGGACATGAGATACCACAGACTCCTTAGAGAATTGAGTTGATCTGTGGAAACTTTTTTTATGTCCTTTTAACTGCCATCAGAACGAAGTTATCTAAGACTCTTAACTGTGCTGTATGCCTAACGACAGCAAGGTAGAAAAGGTGAGGGAACTCCTACTGCACGAAACAACCCCCACCTAACATAAGCTGTCTCCAACCTTTTACTCACAGCTTGGGATGAAGTGAAGATCTGTGTGCAGGTGCACTAAGGTGTCAGACAATGAAAGGCACATCATTAGAACAGATCTACAGACATCAAGATACAATAAAGGCAAGAAGAGAATTACTTATCTGTACCTCAAACTTAAAATGAGTAGACTCAGTCCCAGTCGAAGGTTGGCAACAGTCTATTGCCAGCCTTTATTTAAAATCATCTTAGGATACCAACCAGGTATCTGAAGAAAAGCCAAATAATATTTTGACATCACTGAAGACCTACTTACAGGTGCCCCACTTCTCAGTCTAGAAAAATTAGGTGACCATTTCTAAATAGTAATTTGCCAACCTTGTTCTGGAGAATCCCACGAGAGACATTAATTTATTCTTCATAAATTACTGAATTACAAAATAATGGGGACAATTATATTAGACAGTTAGCCATTTCACTTAAAGTACTGATTAACCGTCACCCCGGCCAGGTTGCTCAGTTTGTTGGAGTGTCGTCCCAATACGCCAAGGCTGTGGGTCCAGTCTCCGGTCAGGACACATACAAGAAGCAACCAATGAGTGCATGAATAAGTGGAACAACAAATCAAAGTCTCTCTGTCTCTTTCTCCCTGCTCCCTCCTCTCTTTCTAAAAAAAAAAAAAAAAAAAATCAATAAATAAACTAAAAAAAAAAAGTGGTGGTTCACCTTGCTTAGGGTCAGGAACACATTCGATGAAAGCAATGAATTCTCTCTCCAGAGGAATGCATGCTCATGCAAAATTTTGCACAAAATTTTAAATAATTCATGTATCCTCTAAGGCCTCACATATCCCAGATAAAGAACCATTCAATTAAGAATTTTCAAATGCTAAATATTATTATTCCAATATCAATAATTATGTTTACAGATGGATGAGTTAAAATTCCAGGTTTAGATAATGGGAAAAAAGAAAGTTTGGTAATCACTTAAGTTTTAGATTATCTTTGGTAATAATAAAAATGGCGATTATAGTAATAGTCATAAATTATTGAGTGATTGTGCTGTTTATAGCACCATTCAAAGCACTTTGCAATCACTGCCTTGCTTTTTAAACCCTCCATTCTACTTTTAGGTCGTGGATGAAAAGGCGGTCACATATTAAACCTGTCAAGCTCAGGGGAGGTCTTCGTGGTGGCCTTACAAACTCAGAGACCTGAGGTAACCACATAAGATGGTCTGAAATTAAAAACGTCTTAACTAAAAACGAGTCATGGCACGTAGTCCTGTACTAGGCTGGTATTCTTCCCTAACAAAGGTCAATCTTTACCTTAACTGACCCTGCCTATTGTCTTTTTTGCGTCTATTATAACATACCTTTGGAATGTCAAGGTTATTTCCTCTTCCAGACCCCTCAGGGCACAAACACTGTACCAAAGCAGAGACCATAAATCCCCACACTGTTAACTGTTGCTGTTATCATGTGAACTGTTGACTACTAACTATCCTGTACCCACCTATGTAAAAGAAGTATGTATCTATTCCTTTTACTTTTATCCAATCCCAGAGATTTCTCCACTTTGTTTCTCCTGCCTCCCTAATCTATCACCGATGGACTTCTTATAATACCCTTAAGTCTTCCTTGACTCTGATGTATAAAATAAGCGGTAATGCTACCATTTTCCGGTGCATTTTCTCAATCCATTGATATTTTACTTCCCATCAATTGTCATCAGCTTAGCTCAATAAACTCATAAAAATTTTTACAGGTTTGGATGTTTCTTATATTGACAATGCATAATAGATTCATTGTGTGTGAGAACTTGGGGTTCAGGAGGTTAAAAAACTCACCCAGTGTCACAGAGCTAATAACTAGAGTCTGGAGAGAACACGCGTACCTTTGTTTCTACAGTCTTTCCTAAGCTGCAGAAAAACAACCCACAGTCTGTTGCCTTTAAAAGAAAACACTCTGATCTTGCTCGTAACAGCCAGCTCTTGATGACAATGACTTCCAAAAATAAAAAATAGCTTCCAGGGACATAAGGCTTTGTGTTGCTTAGGATGCTCTAAGGTGTCCTAAACTTTCCTTCATTCTGTACTTTTGTTTTGGAGTCTTCACATTACTGTCTAAAAAATAGGATCAACATGCCAGTTGGTGCCTGATTAAAGTGATCAGGAGGTTGGGATGATGTGGCAAAGTATGATACAGGAGTGAACCTGGGTACATGTCACTTCTCTGCATTGACTCTCTAAAAACTACCTCCAATCCGTGACCCGTGATAAAACCAAACTGTTGCGAGGCCCCTCAGAGCTGCCCTTGAAACATGGGAGCTCCCACAGCATGGGACGGACCAAGGTCCTCCTTGTCCCTTGACCAGGGCAAATATGACTTTGTTCACTATGAATTGGTGGCTGACTTCCAGTGACATCCAAATCTGTTCAGCCCACTCAGCCTCACACTCTGTCTTGGGAAAAACAGAACTGAAACTACCTCCGTGGGTCCTTAACAGGACTGGCCCTCAGAGGTCCTGCAGGGGACAGTTGCTTCCATGTTGCAAGGAAGGGCTTTGTTCCATAAATATTACCCTGCACCCAGCACCTGTCCCATCAGTGCAATCCTGTTACATCAGTGAGAGATTTGGTCCTTCAGCGCATATTGTTCCATCTTCCCGTGTCCCTTTTAAAAGCCAATAGCACCAGGCTGACCCCCAGTGTAGAATCAGCATCTGTTGGAATAGCTACATGCAGTTGGGATGGTGGCAGAGGGTCTAAGGCAGAGTCTCTTAGGCGGTGATAAGAAAGGATAAGGAAAGAGCAATACAGTAACATTTGGTTCTATTCTCGATTTTATACAGGGCCAGCCCATATTCAAACCCTGAGGAAATTTTCTTTTACCTTGAAGCTGCTATGGTTCTTGAATGATGCGTTCCTTTGCTGGAGGCCCCAGAGAGAATCATCAGGATCTGTCCTATCGAAGCAGCAGCAACAATTAAAGGGCATTTTCATTTTTTGGTTTTGTTAAGGAAACAGCTATATACAAAACAATATGTGTTCTCATTTTCTGCATTTTGACCTTTCCTATGTGTGGCCTTACAACTTTGGTTTTTGTTTGGTGGCTACATACTTTCATTTTCTCAAAATCGTATAGCAAAAAGTTGCGAAACAGATAAATGACTTCATTAGGCTGATTTCAGCAACAGAGTCAACTAGTCCCCAAGAGATTTGGGAGAGAAGCAAAGCTCTGTCAGAGCTGGGCTGGGCCCACAGGCACAGGTCGCTTTTATTTACAAGTCATAAGTTATAGAAATTCCCTCTTCATGGTATTTGCCTTCTCTTTTTTTTTTCTTTTTTTCTCCCAGGTGAAAAATTTTTTTTGTATTTTTCAATTACAGTTTACATTCAATACTACTTTGTCTTAGTTTCAGGTACACAGCACAGTGGTTAGATAATCACATACTTTACAAAGTGCTCTGCCTGATATTTTAAGTACTCACCTAGCATTATATATAGTTATTGCAATATTATTGATTATATTCCCTATGCTGTACTTTACATCCTCATGACTGTTTTGTAGCTACCAATCTAGACTTCTTAATCCCTTCACATTTTTCACCCAGCCCTTCAGCCACTCCTCTAGCAAACATCAGTCTAAAGAACAAAATGAACCAATATGTAAAATTGAAACAGACTCGTAGACACAGAGAACACACTGACTGTATTTGCCTTTTCTATTAGAGAGAAGTTCTGTAGATAACAGATAACTAGACCTGTTCAAACAGCATTTGTAACAGAACCGCTTGCTCTGCTAACACACACACACACACACACACAATCTTAGTCTGGAAAATTAATGTTCCTTTTATATTGCCTCAAAGTAATACAACTCAACATTTTACAAAAGATAAAAAGGCAAAATGGACATATTGGTCTCCAGACACTAACTATGATACCTGGTATATGATAGGCATTCACTAAGTATTTGCTGAATGAATGAATAATTGGATGATCAAATATATATTACTGTGAAAATAATCAAAAGAACAGATTAACCTCGTGTTTTCTTTCTACATTACATATATGTTTTGGCCAAGCTCACTTCCAATTTTGGGACTGCATTAATTTTCATATAAATATGCCACTGATAAAAACTGTCTTACTAGTTTTGCTTATATCTAGTTTCATATTACCACATTAGATGTCTATAGTATCTGCTGTTGATTTCCAAGTCAAATTCAATTATGACAGAGATGTAGGAAGATGCATACTATCTTTTGAAAATGACACATGGAAAGGAAATCAGTTTTAGGTTCATAAGTATGTGGATTTCTCAAGTAATGTAAATGTAGAATAGAAAAGAATAAAGCCAGAATGGCCCATGAAGAGACAAAGTATTAATAAATGTGCCCTTATCACAAGCTAGTATGATAATGTGATTTTTAAAAACCCTTATCTTTTGTCTGTAATTCTAAATCTAGGAATCTTATAAAATAATCAGAGATATGGAAAAATTTGTTTGTGAAAATATTCATCTCAGCCATATTTAAACTGATAACATATTAGTAACAATATAAAATGTCCAACAAGAGAGGATTTGTATAAGACATTATTGTATACCAAAACAATGGAAAACTCTAATAGTTACTAAAATTCATATCTTTGAAGAATAGTTAACACCATGGTATGAGAATGATGTTCACTGTATCAGACATGACCAGCCACTTTGAAGGAACTAAGATTGACTTCATGGAGCCGAAGCTTAAAAAACCTTCCCGAAAACTGGCCTGGCATCTGGCTCACAGGCTGAGCCTCATAGGCGGTAAGATAGGTCACTTCAGGACAAGCCAGGGACCTTGGTGACTTTGAGAAGAGTAAAAATTTCCCACATTTATAGTCAAGCAGATGAAACCCAGGGGAGGGAGTTTCTTGGGTTGGGGAAAAGCAGAAATCTGAAAGACGAATCCATTTACCTGAGCCATCCAAGCCATGGCTTCATTATCTAAGTTATTGTGTCTGCATGAAGCCCAAAGTTTATTTTCGACTAATTAGCGAGTGGCAGCTGCAGAGGAAGGTGAGGCCAGGCACAGACAATGAAATAGCTAAATTTGGCTTGCACAGCTGAGTTGTAGTTGTAGGGTAAATAAAAATGTTTTGACTACATTTATTAGCTATAATAACAATAAAAATTAATTATCTCCAGACTTTAATAAAAAGTATTTTATATGTATATATGTATATGTGTTTGTATATGTACATACATATGTTCATCTACATATATATATTCTTTCTCTCTAAATATTTGTTCCGTGGCATGGTATATTTTATTTGACATGGCAGAAGGTCCTGACTGGAGCTCAAGTCAAATCTTTTTCTGTTTTAAACTCACTAAAAATATAATGAGCCTTTTCATTTCTTCTTATTTATTTTGAATTCATGTACAGGCCATTGATTTCTTTCTGCTGGAGACAGCTGTCTGTGGTAGTAGATTCTTCATTCAAATCCTGGCAACCTAGATTAGCTGCCTCATTAGCTGTGTCTCATGTGTTGCAACTAGTCAACAAACATTACCAGTTAATATTCTGTGACTGAACTCCTATGGGATGTAGAAGTAGAATTTTAAACATTATCGGGCAGTTTTAGCTCCAGTCCTCGTCCTTGAGCAATTGCTCTGACACACTCACTATCTCCCTCTCTTTCCTGTTATCTAGAATCACCAGACTCCAGAGTTAAAGACCATTAGGTAGCCCCACCAGCAAATTCCACTAAACACATGCCCAAGAAGTAATTTTCCAGTCTCCGGCTGAACACCACAAAGTGACAAGAAGGATTCTAGACTTCCACGCTGCCCTTTCTCTTGGGCCAACTTTGACAGTCAGGAGAAACATTTGAGTTGAATTCATCTCCTCACATCACTTTTCTATGATTCTAGTTGTATTCCTCAGAGCCATCCTGAGAAAAATGTTCCTCTGCTTCATGAGTGCCCTTTAAATATCTCCCAAGAAGGCTGTCAGGTCTCCACTGAGGCTTCTCCTCCCAAGGAGCGACAACTGCCCTTCCTATGACATGGTTTGCCTCCCTCCACCATCCTGACTGCTTTTCTGTAAACACACTTGTTCAGTACCCATGTCTTTCTAAGAGAGGCTCTGGACCATGGCTCTGGGGGCCGCTGCAGCCCAGTAAACACAACAGTAAGCTGGTGTGACCATCTCCTTTTCCCCAGGCACTATAGATCTACAAGAGGGGACTAAAACAAACAAAGTGGAATTTATTTATTAAAAATTTGGTATATATTCTTACACAAGTTCAGTCATCGTCCAAGTACTTTCCATTTGGTGCAATACACATTTCAAGAAATTTTCTCCACTGCTCAAAACCGTTTTTGAACTTGTTGATTTTGATGCTTTTTGGCTTCTGCAGTTTTTTGTTTTACCTCTTCCACGTTGGCAAAACGTTTCCCTTTGAGGACATTTTTCATCCAGGGACACAAAAAAAGGTCACTTGGCGAGACTGAGTGAATATGTAGCGTGGAGCATGGGGGATGCCGTATTTGGCCCCAAAACAGCTGAACACTCAGTGCAGTGTGGGCAGTTGTGCTCGTAAATCATCTATCAAAAAATGGGCAACCTTTTGAAAGAGTCTTCCCAAAAAATTCACTGAAATCAAGCGCAGCCTCTCACAACAATGCCAGCTGGTACACTGATACAGATGGGTTCCTAGAACACTCACCCAGTGGGGGAAGCCTGTACTACAAGGAGCCTCCCCTCCAGAAGATAATTCCATTTTGGAGGATCTCCCCTCATATTAATGTAGCCCAAGCTCAGATGAATTGGGGGGCTCTCATGGTACACACTTCATTCAGTTCCCTGTTGCCCCAAATTCTAAAAGTCATATTTCCCCCACATTGTAACTATGCAATTCTGTGCAGGACTTTTTATTTAATTCTACTCTATTTATTTATTTATTTGTAGGTTTGGCCTTTATTACAGTCTTCTAAGATCTAATATGTTTGTATCCCTCTAAGTATAGTTCTATCTGCAAATATATTTGGGTGTTTACTCTGTGTCTATCTGGTCAATTAATAATGCTAAATGTTGTGCCCTGACCGGTGTGGCTCAGTTGTTTGGGTGTCGTCACACAAAGAGAAAGGTTGCAGGTTCAATTCCTGATCAGGGCACATGCCTAGGCAACCAATCACTTCACAACCAATTGATGATTCTCTCACACATTGATATTTCTCTTCCTCTCTTTCTCCCTCTCATCCCCCTCTCTAAAACTAAATAAATAAAATCTTTAAAAAATAATAATGATAAATGTAAAACAGAAATTGGCACAAGACAGAGGTCTTCAGATTGGTATTAATCTATTATTTAACACCCTTCAAGAAAAAGTTTACCCAGCTTCAAATCCTCCCCAAAACATGAGCATCTAGTATTGTCTCCTTTTCAATAACAAGACCATGATCAAGAGATAGTCAAATACCTTGTTGATATAAAGATGCACAGTATATATATATTCCCTTTCTCTACTATTATTTTTTTTCCTAAGGATTTCAGAACATCGTACCTGCTCATGCAAAAATAGGTATTCTGTATCTGCTACATTCCAGTAACCGTGCTACATAAAAGACGATGGGATCTGTGTCCTCAGGGAGTTTTTTGCCTTTAAATAATGCATCCTAGACTTTTCCCAGAAACAACATTAATTTCTCTCTTCTCCTTCACTCCAAGTTTTTGCAGAATCAAGCACACAGCAGGTCCTTAATAATTATTATAACTAACATCTATTGAGAGCTCACCTGTGACATGCATAATGCTAAATACATTAAACAGATTGTTATTTAATTTCTATAAAACCACTTCCCCCCAATTTACAGATGAGAAAACTGAGTGAGCACAGAGTGGTTAGGTAATTTGTGTAAACCCAGTCATTTGACATGAGAGCCACGCAGGTTTAAGTGCTACGGTATACTCTGATGACTCAGCTGCTCTCATGGAATGAATGAAAAGAGGGTCTCATTTTATAATCTTAATATTCATAAGCCTCAGAAAAAGTTTTCTAAAAGGGTTTGAGCAAACACCCAGCAAACCTATCAAACAACCCCAGTGGAAATATAAATATTTTAGGTAAGTTTTCATTTGAGGTATTTCTATAAAAACAACAGAAGTTAAAAATTATACTTTATGATAATGATGTTCTCAGCACAAAGCAGGGTTAGAACTTCCCTGTCCATATCATTGCTGTTTCATAGAAATCATTTCATTTTAGATATTGAATTTTTCTTAGAAGTTATCTGTTCATTTAAGAACAAGATGGATGGTGGTTATCAGAAAAATTCTAAGGACTTTCCAGCCTCAAGACTTTGTGATTTAATTTGCAAAAGCAAATTTCCCATTCTATTGAGTTCCTTTTCTTCTATTAACTTAAAAAAATTTAAAGGCATTTTTTTATCTGAATATAAGCAGCTATCTTTTGCTATAAGTGATGAAAAAGCCTTGACAGAAATTTATTTTAATTATTGACAAAAATCATTAACTTTTTTTTCCAAAACCAGAACTAGATAAGACCCTTCTGGGATTCCATACTGTGTATACTGACACTTCCTATAAGCCTATTTATTCTTGATCTGTTTTTCTCATGATACTATTTTTTATTATGATTAATAATTATGTAATTGAGTTAATACTCTATAAACAAAAACAAACAACACCCCTCCACTTTATTTTGTAATTTAAAAGGCCCTAAAGAGGCAAACCCACAGATGATCAATTGGAAAGATAGTAATGAGAAAGAAGCTAACGCAATACGTATTTCCATCTGTTTAAAATATTCTTAATACTAAACTACTTAATAAGCTCGTTGGTGAGGTACAGATCAAATATTTCATAATCTCACCTTTTGGAATGATCGTCTTATCATTCTTATTCAGGGCCTTGCCTTCCTAAACCAGAGGAAGTGCGTAGGAGCCAATGTGTTCCTCTGTGTATCTAAAATTAAGTACCCAGTTGGTAGTTAAATTAAGATCTGACCTTGTACAACTGAAACATAAGTGGTTCCTGGCACATGGTAAAGTATTACCCATGACTTCTCCAAACTCTCATCAAAAGAAACACAAACCCACAGAGGTATAATAAGATTAGCTGTGTTCTGATTGGTTCAAAGAGCTCTCATGAAAACAAATGATCTGCCAACCCAGCTGCAATGAGGCTTCCTGTTGAAGGAACAAAGCAAGACCACATAAATGGAATTAAACCATATTTTTAAATTTGTTGTTCAAGAAACATTAATTCCATGAGTTTGTGTATGTGCAGATCCAAATCCATTCTCCATCAATTTTAACATACACTATTTCTCAGTCTTTATCTTTTAGACTCATGTCAAAGTTCATTAGGTACAATCTTATTGTTGTACAAATTCACTGTCCTTGCCTTTGATGTGCACATAATAGCTGCTGATCCGATAAATAGATAAGACAGTTAGTGACAATCTGATGGAGAATCTTATAGGTCACATTATAGAACATACATAGGCTATAAACAGAGAGCAGCAGATGTGAGGCAAGCAGAAAATCAGGATTTAAATTGGGGGGAATAGTTTGTTTACTATTTTAAAAAAACAGTAAAGTTCAGTGTCTTAACTGATTTTCTAATAAAAATAATCTCTTAAAAATGTTTTGACACGGTAATTCTCAGGTTAACTCAGGCATTCACAGAGCCATCCGGCTTCTCTCCCCACCACTCCACTAAAACAACTCTTCTTAAGGGTCTCAGTGACCTCCTAGTGTCTAAGGTGGACCAACACTTTTTCGTTTCTTATTTATCAGGCCCTGTCTTGGATTTGCCGCCATTGAGCCCTTTCTTTTTCTTGAAATTCTCTACTCCCTAGGCTTAGAAGAGCACTGTACGCTTTGTTTTTCTTGTTCTTTTCCTTTGGGGGTGGGGGAGATACATAATTAATTAATTAATTAATTAATTTTTTATCTTTAGTTTCCACATATAAGTTAAATCATATTGTTTTAAAGATTATTTTTAAAATTATTTTTAGAGAGAAAGAGAAAGGAAGAAAAACATCAATGTGCAGTTGCCTCTTGATTGCTCCCTACTGGGAACCTGGCCCGCAACCCAGGCCTGTGCCCTGACTGGGAATCGAACCGGGGACCTTTTGGTTTCCAGGCTGGCACTCAGTCCACTGAGCCACACCGGCCAGGGCTAAATCATGTTTTTATCTTTATTGTATTTTTTTAACATTACCTTTTAGTCCCCTTATGCCTCCTCCCCTCAGCACTCACCACACTATTGTTCTTCTTGTCCTTCTGACTCACCCTTTTTAGTTGGTGTTAATGAATAAATATATGGATTGCAGTAAATTTACCAGTTTTATTTCAAAAATTAGAGATCCTTAATCAGAGGACCTAACTCTTCTTTGTAATAAAAGAGGTTGTATTCCAGTTCTCCTTGGAGCATACTAAAATATTTTGTATTTATACCTCTATTAAGTCAGGATCGAAGGTTAGAAGATTGCGCACATTTTATAATTTTTAATCTAATTTGGGATTTTTCAATAAAGAATTCATACAAAAGCAACCAGCATTGTGAAATTCTTTAATTTTTACACTATACTTTTTAAAATTTACAATATTAAATATTCATATGAAGGTTTTGAGTATAATGCTATTTATGAGAAAAATCTATACCCAATGTTTTGAAATGTGGTTTGGGACATTTGTGCTCTTATATTAATCAATTTATACCTGTTTTGTCCACTTATAAAATAATTCTTATACATATCCTTATATCATAAAATATTTAAAATAATAAGACAAAAAAGGCTGTGTGGTAAATAAATGAAAATATGTTACTGATGAATAGACATATAAACAAGACTGTCTTACCACTTACTATCTCTGTCACTTGAGATTTGTTATTGAAATTTTCTGAGTGATATTAACAGTAATAATAATAACCATAATAAAGAAAATAACAGTAATACAATGACCGTGGCACCCACCATTTTTATGAAGTCTATTCCTCAAGTAGTTTACTCATCTAGACACATGATAAAGCATGCTTTGAGTAATTCAAAAATATAAAAGAATATCAGTTCATAATGTTAATAATCACTTCCATATTTGCTTATTTTGGAGGTTGGCTTTTCCTGCTGGTTTTCTCAAAATGAAAACAAAGTATACCAGATTTTTTAACCCTGTGCCTCTGGTTTGCTTGGTGCCCTCTGTGAGCGTAAGTTTCAGGGAGATGTGTGACCAAGCAGTAAGGACTATTGAATGTGACTTTTGCTCTGAGGAAGGCACATATAATGACACTGACATCCAAATAGGTGTCGCTTCTGTCTATATATAGCAAGAAACGCATGTCCTGTTTCAAGGTGATAATTATAGCAACTGATAGGAGAAATCTTGGGTTGAAATGGTTGGAGGGCAGTGTTAGAAGCACTGTCCTGGAACCACTCATTTTGATTTTGCGAACAAGCGATTTGGGTAGCATTGTACATGAACTTCCAAGGAGCAATGAGGCATCCTGGCCTGCGTGTTTTAAGGCCTGTGCTGCTACTGCACATGTGACCTGCCCACAGGTACTCTGTTCCTGAAAGTGTGTGGGGCTTGCAGGCCTTTGGCTCTAAATTAAAAATACAGCTCTTGCCATGGTTAGTCATACAATCACATCCACCCCCACACAAAATGATTTATCACATTCCTCTCTGATCCAGGCCATTCTTTATCAAAGCCTTATCTTTGCCTTCTGGGTAAAATGCTGTTGTTCTCTTACCTTGAAGAATCCTACTTCTGTCCTGTGATTTGTTGTTTAGTAAGCAATACCTAGGTACATCGCACTTGGCTTTATCTTTAATATATCTCATGTTTTCTACTCTTCCTTTCTTGCACTTGTTTGTTATGTTGGTGTTTGGGATTATGATAAAAATTGCACACTTTTATTTCAGTTGTATATAAAACAGAGTAGAAAAATGTGAGTAAAGAAAAGAAATCCTTCATTTCTAGTACGCTTCCCCAGTACTTTGGTAATTGTTTACTTTTGATGTGCTACTCAGTTGTTTTTTTTCTCTAAACTGAAAACCAAGCAACTGGAACTGTGATCACAAACGTATCAGGATCACAGAAGTCACAGGCCCCTGGAAGAACCTGCATTGTTGACATCACTCTGGCCATTTGTTTCCATGCAGCAGCACAAAGGCAGGTGACGAGAGGGTAGTTTTTAGTAAGATAGCACCCTAGATAGCGCGCTAAACCAGCCCTGAGCATGAGGCTAGGAGGATTCTATACTGGCATTTACATTAATGGTTTTACCCCCAGGGTCTGACAATGTGCTTGTCATATAGGAAGCACACATCAAATATGTGCTAAATATTTTGTTAAACATTGGTTCTTATTGGTTAGCAGTTGTTTCCTATCTAATTTAATTAGAGGGGAACTCAGTTAAATCTGAGTCATAGTGAATCTTAAGAAAGGTTAATCTTTATTCCTTTTTTTGGAACAAAGCTTTTAATTTTCATTACTGTGAGTGATATTCAAGTGCCTCTAAGAAAAAAGACCCCGAATCAAAAGAAGAAAGCAGTGAATCTGTATTTTAGTCTCAGATCTGTCCATGTCTTTGTGAATTAAAGCAAATCATTTACTTATCTGTGCCTCAGCTTCTCCTGTGTAACGATGCTGCTCTCTTTATTTCATATTGCTGTGAGAGTAAAAGAAGCATAATTATGGAAGTTCCTTGAAAAATTAATCACTATACAGACACAGGACTTAATAACAATATACTTCTTAGACAGAAAATGAATACTAAACTATCCTATTTCGTTGTCCATTTTATGCATGCAGACATGTTAGTATATACAGAACGTGATGTTAGACCATTTCAGGGAGTACGTGCCAAGATGGGTGGACATGCAGTTCTAGTCCTTAAGAAGTTTATCATTGTGTACAGAACAAGTAAGTAGAAAAGAGGCAAGAATTTGGTAAGACAGATAAAAACATAAGTAGGCTATGGAGAAGAGTCACAGAATACACAAACACATACACATATACATGAGTTTTAAAAAGAGAAAATGGTTTTACATTAATGGATCATTATAGTACTTTGAGAACTTTTTCTTCTAGTCTTTTGTAATTCTGGTCTGCTGTATGTCCCAAACTGATAGTGCGAAGGCAAGGAGACTTTAACATTTTTAATATCTTATTTAATATAAATTAAACATAATCATAATCATGATTGTGTGTTAGAATTAGCAAGCAAAGTAAAATTTGAATTATTTAAAATTCAGTATTTTTTTCTTAAAAGAATTGATCTTTTCATGTACACCTGCTATGTTTTAATTTTTAGAATTTGCTAACGCATGACATTCTGTCAATTAATATTTGATTTTGAAATAGCATTTTAACATTAAATGTTATAGAAAAAAATTATACAAATTTGATGAAGAAAACTTACCATGTTAAAAAGGAAAATTTTCAGTATAAATCCTACTTTTCTACCATTAAAAGGTCCTGCTACTGCCCCTCTTGCATTCAGATCATTATTTTTAACATTTCTAATTTGATCTGCCATTTTGTGTATGTTGAAACAATTTCAGTATAAAAAGTAAGGTTAGTTATTTTTTCAGTAAACTAGAAAAATGTGATTTCTTCTAGTTTCTCCTCCTGCTGGACTCAGATTTGCCTCTGAAAAATAGTGTCAATATTAGGAGAAAATACCCTGGATTTCCCAGAATGGTATTTCTATTGAATATTTGGCTTAGCTGTTTCTTGGTTTGGTTCTATTATGTAATCACCATAAAAATAAGGCAGATTTTCACATTCCCTTCATGTTTACTATAATATCAAAAATATCAAAAGCAAGCTGAGTTTTGAGGTTTTGTGAAGGTGTTTTTATGCACTTTGGTATGTCTGGGTAATCATCCAATATTGCAGCTCTTAATGTGAGTACTTTTAAGGGGGCTCTGGGTGGGATATAATAG